ATATAAGGTTGTAACCTTAAATGTAGAATTAAAGATGCATTTAAAAAATCCATCGGAAAAGGTTGTTTTAATGTTGAAAACCTCTCTGATTGTTCATCTTGATTTATAGATATATGAATATGAAAAAAAAAGATTTTGAGTCCTAGAAATAGTGCTTCTTGCAATACATTATCTAGACCGTCCATTTTCAATATTTTCATACGTTCATAGATTCACTTGATTTTAGCCATTTTTTGGAGTTTAAAATTTTTTAATTAGATATGGAAATAGTTTTTCAGATAATCCTTAGAATAATTACACCAAAAATACATGTTATGATAAAATTTGGAGGTGCTCCTTAATTGGATTGTTTAAGGTTGCAACCTTATAGGGCACACGCGTGCACACACACACACACACAAACACACACACACATGTTTGGGTGGTAGCTCTCATCTGATTCTCATATAAAAACAAATGTTTTTAATAATTGGTAATTTAAATTAAGGGAAAATCTAAATTGATTTGAACAGTTGTAGAACTTGATGAGGGAAAATTTTCTACTACAATCATAATATAAAATTTCTACATCTCTCTATCCCCAATTGGGTTGTAGCCTGTCATTAGCTCTCGTATAAAAACAAAAATAATAAAATAATAATTAGTAATCGATGAGAAATTACATAACACAATCATAATAAAAAATTTCACATAACATAATCATCATAAGAGATTAGTAAAAGTTCAATTGAAATAAGATACCTCATTTAAATTTTCTACTGCAATTATCAAACCTTCTAGTTTACTAATCAAACTTCTTCCTATTTTTTAACTTGTACCATAAAGATTTTGATTTTGGTATCATAAATTTATTGCTTATTTGAAATTATGTAGAGAGACATTTGAAAAACTTCAATAATAAATAAATAAAAATAAGGCCTATCACAGTAAAATCATATTATTCCAATCATATTATTCCAAAGACTTATCATGTTGAAACCAAAGTCTAATCATGTTAGCCAAACATAGCCATATTTTTCATCTTTGGATGGTAATGTATGTCTCATATTTCTTTCAGACATAGCTAAACAGTACCAATGTATTTTTCAAGTTGCATCTAAATACTACCCAAACAGTGACAATCCATTTGTAGGTAATGTATTACGCAGTAATATATTACGCCCGTAATATATTTCACAGACAATATATTTATAGGTATCCAAACGGCCCCTTAGTGTACTTTCCCCTTTGTTCTTTTTATGTCTCTCTCTTTATCTTTCCATATTTACAATTTTCTCTCTAGTCTGTGTATCATTTCCTTTTCATTCTCTCTATGATTCATTCCACGTGACATTATTTTCTTACTTTGGTTACTGCATCGTGGTTATTGTGTTGCAGGGTTGGTTATTTATTCTTAATTTGATTGTTTATGCATTTTCTATTTCGTCTTCTATTTTTAGAGAAAAAAAGGTGACCAATGGAGTGTAGCAATCCATTTTTTATAGGATTATTAATACATATGTTCATTTATGGTTGATACGTAGTATCTCAACACCCCCTCCGTCCCTGTTACAGGAATGGTGGTATCTCAATAATGAGTTGAGTATGTTTGAGTTATATATTCTCTTATACTTTTTTTTTACTCTCTCTGTATCTTTCTTTATTTACACATTCTCTCTATGATTCATTCCTTTTGGCTTTATTTTCTCACTTTGGTTGCTTCTTCGGGGTTATTGTGTGGTATGGTTGGTTATTTTACTTCTTCATTTTTTGTTTATTTTTTTATTGTTTCTACAATTTCTGTTTGGTCTTCAATTTTTGGGGCAATTTTTTTTTTTTTATGGTTGGGTGTTTTATTTATGCATAAAATGTTGTGAGACTAAACTAATCGGTTGAAGGAAAATCTCGTTCTCTCTCTCTCAACATTCTCTCTCTTTGGTGCAAGTACATGGTATCTCAATATTTAATGTAATATTTAGTTAGGTATGCTTGAGGTAAGTAGTATTCTCTTTATGTGTATGAAGTGAGAGAGTCATTGGCCTGCATACTCCTGGAGCACATAGACATAGAGAGGTTCTCTAGCTTTGCTTTTTTTTTTTTATGGGATAGAGGGATCTGAAT